TCTAATGTCCGAGTGCAAGTGAATGCAGCACAAGACGCGAGCCTTGTAACCCCTACCCCCCCCCTGGCGCGAGCTTGGAAATATGATTGGCGGCGATTTCATTTGAACGGGAGAACAGCGCAAAACGAGAAGCATTTCGGATACAAGTAGACAGAAGGAATGAGGTATTTGCGGTCAGGGTATGGCTGGGGTAGGCTACAGCCATACCAATAAATGGCTTAGCCCCACCATGAAAAATGATGTGAAAGTAAGCAAAATAAAGTCTGCCAACTCGCGCCGAGTAAATTGCACAGACAGCAGTTAGTAAGATTGATTTCAGTAGCCACTTGTCAAGAAATACCGAAGAATAGAAACGGTTTTGAACACTTTTGTCACGTAGTGATAGTCTTCTCAATAGAACATCTTTGATAATGTCTTCTGGCCAATCAGAATCAAGATAACGGCGTGGTGTTGTTGCAGGAAGTCCCGACGGAAAATACTTTTGCTGTAGTACATCTCTACTATATACATCGATACAACATTACGTGTTGAATGAAATAAGACCCCACGTTTTAATGATTTATTATTATTTATTTATTTTATTTGATGAGGTGTGTGGGCTGTCTTTCATTTTTACATACAGAACAATGGAGGCTATCCACCCTTATCCACAATGTAAAGTAATTCACACAGCCTCTTCTCTCAGTGAGGAGCAGCAGGTTCAGCTTTCAGTAACAAAGTAACAAAAAACAAAGTAACAAAAAACTAAAAAGGCATTAATTTTTTTAAATATGTCGTGTAGTAATAGATTTTTTTTTTTTTCTCAAGAGAGTAGCCTACCAGAATGTGTATTTTATGTTAGTATTTAAAAAAATGTCCTGGGGGACAATCCCCCCAGACCCCCCTGCAGGGGTTGGGTTTTCAGCATGTCAACTCTTTCACCTGTGGAGAAATTGCAGGATTGGCTCCAGGTCGCCCTTTTTATTTACTACAGTTCAATTTGGATTGAGACAGGGAAATAATCTAAACCTCGAGCGTGGCGTTTCACTGTCAAGGGGAGCGTGCATTTAATTACATTGCAAGTACTGACTTGAGCCCCACCACTGTATGGGTTAGCCCTACCATAGATTACCCAACAAAAATACAATGGAGCCGCAACTGCAGACCCGTATTGCGCATGCGCAGATCTAAGATCCAGTAGAAATGATAAAAAAGTCAAAGACTGCTGCTTATTGTTCTACTAGGCCAAAATATTGTCAAAGAGTATATGAGAGTGAGAGTGTGTTAATTAATATATTTGGCAGTTTGGATTAAGTCTGTAGATTTGTCTGTGTGTGTTTCATGTATAGGCCTCTCACGATAATTAATTTTGTTGGATACATTTTCCCGGAAATTATTGCGATAAACGATAATATTGTCGGCACCGTTGTATGACCATTTTAGACCACTGACATAATGATAATATATAATAATAATTCAAGTACATCCTTTCAAACTGCTAGTCACATCCTCATGTAATTGGCAATTTATCGAGTTCATTTTTATTTATCGTACGATAAGTCAATTAATTGCTTATTGCGACAGGCACACAATAAAACAGTGGAAACAAACATGTGTTTGACTTTCATTAGTGAATTAAACTGTGTGCCCTTTATAGTCTTTGTCCAATATTGTGTATTTGTATATATTGTATATATATGCTAAGGTCACGCTGCTGACACAATAGCAGTCATTTTGTGCGCATATGTGTATTTAAACCCATGATATCAAAATCTCACTCCCTCCAGGTACCCAAGTTGGCAACCCTGCTATAATTATCTGATCAAATGTGTAAGTTAGCCGGATGACTAGTTTATTATCAAAAGGAGTAAACTAGTATCATTTCCAAAAGTGAAGGAAATATCATTCATAACTACAACATCACCTGAAACATAATTTAAATGTTTTAGCATTGACATTAGCTTATGCTACCTAGCTATGCCTACAGATCAAATATACCAGCAACCAATAACATTTTTAGTAAAATCAGATGCCTGCTTTCCTTTACTTCTGTGTTAAATCAAGGATGTGTTGTCTTTAAACAATGACTACACATTAGAGTAGTACATTATCCCCCTATAGCTATTAGTTTGGAAGCAGGTTACAGAAAAATGCATTTTGGAGCAGAAAAAAACCACAAACAGATTCACACATTAATTTTTCAATTTTTATTAACATTGCAAAATAGTGCAAAAGGCTTTCGGCTTTGGCGGGAGTCTGTGCTCTCCAGGTGCCCTATTGGTTGTAAACACGTATGTATCATTGTGTAATGGAAAGCCTGACAAGCATAGCAACAGTAACCAACAGAGGAGGGGCTTAGCAAATTATCAATTCCTCCAATATTCCCTGGTGCCATATAGACTATTTAGATTAGTGGAAATACACCACTCTTTCCTTGATGAAAGCAGGTATGATAAACCCCCATCCACTTTTTCAGGGCTTTCACTTTCATTAAATTGTTACCTGAATGTACTTCAACGCTAGGTCATGCAGCCAGAGGAGACAATTACACTGAGTAGCGATTATTTAACCAGTCAGATCCCCCCCTTGTCACCCGGCCCTTCTCCAATCTCTCTCTCCCTGCGTCTAGACGGAATAGCTCCCACATGACACATTTAAGTCTTTATCTATGCCCAGAATATCTTTGCAGGCATGTGAGAGGACAGAAAGGACAGCATTGTTTCCCACACCAGCCCTTCCAATCCCAAGACCCCCGCCGTTTTCTGCCCTCTTCAACCAGCCCTAAAAATGACCGTCACCCCCTGCGAGAGGGAAACCACTCTACACACACTCATCCTAAACACATGCTCGCGCTAATTCTGCAATCCATGTAACGACCTCTGAGCTTTATGCCCACCACCTAACTGACAAAAAAACAGGCCTAAGGGTCAAATACATTATTTGTACACTTTTTTCAGGTCTTCTCTTCATTAACTTTTAAGGAAAATGTAACGAAAAATGTGTAAACGAGTCAAAATCAGAGGTGTGACAGAGGAAGGAATGTGCTTCTCTCGAATCCCAGTGGTTTCTCTTACATCATCAGAAAGTGTGTGTTTTTGTGTGTGTTGGATCCCCTCGGCTTCCAAAAGACTTAAGGGGGCGTCTTCTTTTCCACTTTGGCTGACCCCCTATCAGCAAAGGGTGATAGTCACAGAACTTATCGTGTGTGTGTGTGTGTGTGTGTGTGTGTGTGTGTGTGTGTGTGTGTGTGTGTGTGTGTGTGTGTGTGTGTGTGCGTGTGCGTGCGTGTGTACAGTATGAAGCCTGTGATAACAAAGCCTCAGTTGAGCTATTGTAGTGACAAAATAAATACACATTTTTGCCAAAGCACATTATACACAATGGTATAGTTTTTAAATTGCAAAGAACAAAGCATTAAACACCCATAAAAAATGTATTTCAACATATGTCCAAGGTTCAGATAAAGAATATAGCCTCTTTGCTAACTCAGGCTCGTTAACACTAATATTTGATAATCCTTTAAATATATGTCATCTAAAATATAGAACGGAAGATAAAAGTAAAACAAGCATTTTTTTATAATAATAATTTATGAAACACGTTTGGTCTCTAGTTTTTGTGAGAGAGTGTTTTGTAGTGGAAAGCTGGTGACGCTGGTGTGACACACTGTGACACTCCAGGACCTCAAGGAATCCCGTCGTGTTTACTGTGTGGTTGCCAGGCAACGCAGGAGCATGTTGGAAAAAAGCCACTGGTAGGAAGCGCTGCAGCGTGCAGCACAGGCGCCATGTTGACCCCCCCCCCCGCTACCCTCCCATATCTTTTTGGAGAAATGCGTCAGAGCGCTCTTCATGTCATTGCCTCTGCAATATGTCCAGCGTGTAACGTCCAAAACCTGTTTGTGTCAACAGCTTCATATGTTGAGACACCGAGCCAAGAGCAGCATGTGTTTATGTGAGAGTGACAGCAACACACTCAGAGTGAGGTGTGTGTGTGTGTGTGTGTGTGTGTGTGTGTGAGCTACTCCATCATACAGAATAACAAATGTCCTGTTGAAGGCAGAAAAAGAGTTTGACTGAAAATATATATTTGTTTCTTCATATTTGGAGAGGGGAGAGTCATCAATCATCATCATTACATTATGTTATTTATTTTATAACCTTATTAACCCTATTTTCATTGGGTTTTTGAAATATAGTTGAACTATAGCAGTGAGTGCAGGCATTAAGGAAACATTAATAAATAAATAAACGATTAAAAACAGAAATTAAACAAGTCAATATTCAAGTTATTCATGTAAAAACTGACGTCTGTCTCATAGGAAACGAGATGACTTAAATACCTAAAAAGATAAACTGTCATCATTGAGGACAAACACCCAGCCAGAGAGATAATTCACATTTCTATTTAAAACTGCATGGCATAATTAGATATTTTGTGTTGTTGTTTGTGTTATTTAGGAAGACTATGAGGTGACCCCGGATGAGAAAAGAAAATGGAGAGGGGACCAGATCGTCAAGACTTTTCTCTCAAAAGAAGTACGTTCCTTTATCTGATCAATTTTATAACCTTTTTTTCTCCACATTATGTTGTTAAAGTGCATTCAGTATCCTTTTAAAGTGATTGATAATTGCATCCTGTGGAAAAAGCAGACAATAATCTTGAGTTAGAGCTGTAGGAAACACTCACAAGCGTTCTCACAAGGATGTACTAACTCAATGTACACATTAAATGTACAAAACACAGCAGTTATGCATGTTTCTCCTGATGTAGTAAGGCGAAATAAAAAGCAATGTATTTGTGTATTTGTGGCGTATGTCACTGTGTTTGTTTACATTTGTTGTTGTGTATGTAGTCCCCTCAGCGTGTAGACATAGCGGAGGATTTTGGAGAAGAGTGTAGAGAAAACCTTGAGCTGAGTCCATGTAAGGAGATCTTCAGCAACTGCGGAAAGTGAGTCTCCCCTCCTTCTTTATTCCCTCTCCCCTGTCTCACTGTTTTCACTATACAACAAACAGTAAACATACTGCTGCCTGAATGATAGCGTGCATTATCTCAGTTTAACTGTTGTTGTGTTGCACCAGGGTCCTGCATGACTACCTGAGAGGAGCTTCGTTCTTGGACTACCAGAACAGCATGTACTTCGACCGATTCCTGCAGTGGAAGATGCTGGAGAGGTACGCAAATATAAGAATAGACATGTAAATATGAATATGTAAATAGGGTGGAGATTTAAATGTTAGATATCACTGTGAAACTTGCCCATGTGCACAACTTACACAAAGACGATTATTTTCTAAAATGTGGTCTAAAATGCTATGTTTAAATTAAGCAACTGAGGCATTATCTTATTAAATATATGCTTCATTTTCAGAACCTAAACATGGGATTAATCCAACTTGAAAAGCTTCTTGTTAACATGTATAAAGATAACGTTTCCAACTGAGGGAATTTCTAAAATCTCCTTGTATCACACCATAAACACTGACAACGGCCATAAAAAAAAGTATTTTGACAATTTTTTGATGAATATATGTTATGTTATGTTTTCAAGACAGTGAAGGTGAATAGGGTATAAACGATGAACTAATATATATCAGCATAAAACTTCCATATATATAATGGAGTTCAAGTTTTCTTTGAATGTCCCCTGTAGTTGATTTATTAATGATAATATCATATTAATGAATACTTGCGTTAATATGATTGTTATTTTTTGTGGCGGTGACTATAGAGCTACATATCTACTTTATACATTTTGGTAATTTAATCTATAAGAAAGCATATTTTTTCTTATAAAGTGATTCGGTATTTTCTATGTAAAGTCTTAATCAGAAAAGTAAATATTAACTTTAGCTGTACATGTAGTAGGGATGCCAGCGATTATTCGAATATTCGTTACAGTCTCCATAATCGAACATTATTTTTAAAATTCGATTTTATTTATATATTTTTTTATTATTATTTATCTTCTTTTTTTTTTTTCCTGGCTTAGTTTCAAACAAAATATAGACTAATGCTAATAATAGTAATAGTATTAATAATTGTAAATGGCCATTGGTCACACCACCAGTTTGTTTTACTGTAAACTTGGAGGAAGCCAGCAGCAATCAATTATTATTCGCCAGGGCTGTCCGATTTTCGATTTTGATCATGGTCAGTTTCTGGCATCCCTAAATGTAGTGGAGTAAAAGTACAATTTCTTTAAATAAATGTATTTATAAAATAGCATTACATTTAGATACTCAGGATATAAACAAGTACATCAAAATGTAATTGTTTGATACTTATTTGCAATGCAATCTTGATTTAACTTTCAGATGTTACTTTCCTACAACAGTAAATCATTTTTAAGAAGAAAACAAATAAAGAATCTTGACTTGTGCGTCACTTCGGAGACTCTTTAGAGCAGTATGATGACTCTAGACAGGAACATAATTTCATGCAGAGTGCATATCAAAGGCCGTTGGAAGTAAACGGTAGGCTTTTAGACGAGCCTTAATTGTATCCGTGTCTGGAAAGTGAAATTGCGTAGGAGAGGCCCCACCCTCAGCACAGGAAATAGACTCAGGATGATATTGAGTTCCGCTGATAACATCTCCGTTCTAATCGATACTATATGAGCGTCTATTAATGGATCTCGCTGTTTCTGTGTTCTGTCAGGCAACCAATCACTAAAGACACGTTCCGGCAGTACCGAGTGCTGGGGAAGGGGGGATTTGGAGAGGTAAGAGTTGATCACATGATGATACAGATATATGTTGATGCCCAGATTTGAATGACAGCAATGTGGGAGATACCATGTTGTTCTTCTACCTCAGGTGTGTGCCTGCCAGGTCCGAGCTACAGGGAAGATGTATGCCTGCAAGAAGCTGGAGAAGAAGAGGATAAAGAAGAGGAAAGGGGAGTCCATGGCTCTCAACGAGAAGCAGATTTTAGAGAAAGTCAACAGTAGATTTGTTGTGAGTAAACGTATAAGAAGAATTTAAATGTTCATTTACAGAAAAAAGGTTATTACCTCTGTGATCACCACCCTGAACAAACTGTTCTCAGACCTGGTAACACTGTTCTTGTCCATTTTAGCTTTAAGATTTTAAATTGCTATCTCACTTATGAGGCGATGCCTGCGAGCTAGTTCAGGCAGTCAACTCGAGCACCAATGATTCATTAACACGTGACGCACCTCGTCCCTCTTACAACCAAACACATTCTCCTAAACATGCCGCTCTATTTAAGCTGCCAGGTCTTCCTGCCTCTGCCTCGCTATGCTGCTGCTCCACTGCTGTGTTCACTTGCTATTGCTACGTTCATGTTCCTGCTGCTGTGTTTCATGCTGCTGCTACTTGCCTGCCCCACCACCACCCCAGCTCCACCTGTAGGCTCGGGGGATAGTTATCTAATCATCACTCAATGTTCTTTGTAAATCTGTGGAGTGATGAGGCCCGAGCCTAGACGCCAAACTCAAACTACAGTGGGGCAAAAAAGTATTTAGTCAGCCACAAATTGTGCAAGTTCTCCCACTTAAAAAGATGAGAGGCCTGTAATTTTCATCCTAGGTACACTTCAACTATGAGAGACAAAATGAGAAAAAGAAATCCAGAAAATCACTGATTTTTAAAGACTTTATTTGCAAATTATGGTGGAAAATAAGTATTTGGTCAATAACAAAAGTTAATCTCAATACTTTGTTATATACCCTTTGTTGGCAATGACAGAGGTCAAACGTTTTCTGTAAGTCTTCACAAGGTTTTCACACACTGTTGCTGGTATTTTGGCCCATTCCTCCATGCAGATCTCCTCTAGAGCAGTGATGTTTTGGGGCTGTCGCTCGGAAACACGGACTTTCAACTCCCTCCAAAGATTTTCTATGGGGTTGAGATCTGGAGACTGGCTAGGCCACTCCAGGACCTTGAAATGCTTCTTACGAAGCCACTCCTTCGTTGCCCGGGCGGTGTGTTTGGGATCATTGTCATGCTGAAAGACCCAGCCACGTTTCATCTTTAATGCCCTTGCTGATGGAAGGAGGTTGTCACTCAAAATCTCACGATACATGGCCCCATTCATTCTTTCCTTTACACGGATCAGTCGTCCTGGTCCCTTTGCAGAAAAACAGCCCCAAAGCATGATGTTTCCACCCCCATGTTTCACAGTAGGTATGGTGTTCTTTGGATGCAACTCAGCATTCTTTCTCCTCCAAACACGTCTAGAAAAAAGTACTATAAGTTTGTTTCTGGTGTCATCTGACAGCTCTATGACATTGGCCATAGTGGAGTTTGGAGTGTGAATGTTTGAGGTTGTGGACAGGTGTCTTTTAAGTCCCTGGCGGCGTAGTGTGTTACTGATGGTAGCCTTTGTTACTTTGGTCCCAGCTCTCTGCAGGTCATTGACTAGGTCCCCCTCGTGTGGTTCTGGGATTTTTGCTCACCGTTCTTGTGATCATTTTGACGCCACGGGGTGAGATCTTGCGTGGAGCCCCAGATCGAGGGAGATTATCAGTGGTCTTGTATGTCTTCATTTTCTAATAATTGCTCCCACAGTTGATTTCTTAAAAATCCAGACAATGTATTTCTTGAGTTTGTTTCTCATTTGGTCTCTCATAGTTGAGGGATACCTGGATGAAAAGTACAGGCCCTCTCATCTTTTAAGGAGAAACTTGCACAATTGGGTGCGACTAAAATACTTTTTTGCCCCACTGTAAGTGGACTTTACGTTCCACAACTAATTTTCTGACAAAAAACACAATATTTCACAAGTGACATAACGTTTGGTAATGAAAGGCAGAGAGTAATGAACCTGTCATCAGCAGGTTTGTAGCCTCTTGTTTGGTGATCTTTCCGTGAACCTCTGTTGAGAGATACAATAACAGTCAAAATGAGGGTTAGTCAACAAAAGCAGGACTTCCAGTAGAGCCTCCAGCACCACAAACACCATCTCTAAACACACATGCTTAAAAATACGACATCAGCTGTTGGGGATTTCATCTAAGTAAAACGACTGTCTCATGTCACGTCATAAATCTGAATAAATAATGAATTTAGCTCTACCACACATACGCGTTCCCATTCATGTCCCACTATTGTCCAAAGGGTTCAAAGAAAGGAAACGCTTAGATGTGGCCAGACTGAGATCTAGAGCTCCTATCCTCTCTCAGGGTGTGATCAATAACTGTCAAATTTAAGAACTGCTAAAGCGAAGGGACATGGTCCCGGTTAGGAAACAAAAAAGCTGCAAGTGAATAATGTGCGTCATGCTTTTCTAATGACAACAAAAACATGTTGGGAGAGATACAGCAAACAACAAGGCTGATTCACATGGGATACCTGTAATTGGTATGTTAATTAAAGATATAAAATAGCAAAATACAATTGTCTTTTTTTGACCACTGGAGAAAAGGAAATCAGAGTATAATAACTTACGCTTTTCCCTCATGTTGGATCCTCCTCCCGCCTAGGAAGAATACAGAAACAGAAATTGGTCCATGAAAAAAATCAAAAGGACTAATAACTTATTGTTTGGACGACTATGGACTGTATTTTGTATAACATATAACATAGCACGACCATGGTGCTCTGCCAATGCCACCTGGTATGACTGGTCTGGATTGTTCTTTTGAAGCCTGAGTTTATTTCAAGCTTTGAAACCTTGAAGCGTACTTACCAACCTCTTCCACCCAGGCCTCCACGATGAGGCCCTGCTCCTCTGTGCGAACATTGGTCACCCACATCCAGCCATCCCATTCATTGTGAACATAAACGTGTCCCCTCAGGAAGCTGAAGATATGTCATTTGAA